CCTCTGCCATTATTTTCTCTCCACTCCCTTAACTTAAGTTCAGCTGGGCTCATATGAGCTACTGCTGTGCTGGCAACTTTTTTATTTGTATCTCTTTATTAATCATTAATTTGTGAAAGAAGTTTGTATCGTTTACCAATTATAATGTTATTTTCTTGAATTGTAAATGCCAATTTTTCTAAAGAACTTATAAGCAAAATAGTTGTTCTCATAAGTTATTACGCGCACCTTGTTTATTAAGACCCTTACATTGAATAGTTTCACCAGCTATAGTGTATTTACAAGTTCAGTAGAATTGTGGAGATACTTTTGGTTAAAGCATGTCAACCTAAAACTTCCTGCGCGTTCGCCTGCAGTAAAAACAGTGACTGTGATTTAGATAACATTTTCCAGGTATGGACGCATCCACGTCAGACTGGGAGAAGACGCTGAATGTGAACGTGGTTGGATATGCCAACATGGTGCAGGCATGTCACCCCTACATAAAGAAAGGTACATAGAGAGTGTTGAACTAGCGCAACAGTCTAGCTGTCTCAACTAGCACAATAAACTGCATACCCTCGTCTTATATGCCCCTCTCAACTGAAATTTGTTTACAAAAATTCACTGCCAGGATAAAGACTTAATCTGTATCTAATAAACATCTTAATATTGACCCTAATTATTGTGCTTTCACAGTTGTACATATATATAAAGTTATATCATTTTAAAACATAGTTCAATTTAATTTCTCGTCGATCATTTTCATTAGCCGAGCCGGGCTGCCGCGCTGTCGTTAATATTGCCAGTATCACTGGACATATACCAAAACGAAATCGATGGACATACGACGCCAGTAAAGGATGTAGAGCCGCATTTTGCAACCGACCGCATTTTGCAACCGGTTGCAAAATGCGTTCAGTTGCAAAATGCGGTCCTACTAAGTAGAGCCGCATTTTGCAACTGAACGCATTTTGCAACTGCAACGCATTTTGCAACCAAAGAAAATCGTGAAAACGCATTTTGCAACCGCAACGCATTTTGCAACCAGAATTTTTTTCTAAGTCCCTGAAACGGCTTGAATTACGAGACAGGTAGGCTACGGGTAGAATTGGAGTGGGGACGGGTTTATTTCGACTATGTATGCTGAAACTGGCTAGGCTGCCCCTGGGGTGGACGATAATATAAAACTTATTTCACATTGTAATTTCCTAAACCATTAGAGTTAGGAGGTTGAAACGTCAGGGAGTAAAAAAGATATTGTTAGGCATGCACATAGGGGTGTGGCCGTCCCTAGGGGTGGTTGATTGTAATTTTACATTGTATTTTCTGTTATCTACCCTTATATCTTTAGAATTAGGAAATAAAAGCGTTGGGGATTAATACCATCGTAAGAAATGTGCGTAGGCACTCCAGATTTTTTGTGACTTGGGGTGTAGTTGTCCCTGGGGGTGGTTGAGATCGTTAGAGATGTGCTTGGGCACATCGGAATGTTTGGTGACTTGGGGAGTGGCCGTCCCTGGGGATAGTTACTTGACTGTAATATTTTCACCGTAATTTCTTTCATCTCCTTCTCGACCATTCGAGTTAGGAGCACGAGTCTTTGGTGCATGGGTACAGGAGAATTTTAGTGTGACTTTGGGTGTGACTGTCCCTCAGGGGATGGGGTGATTGGTGGTATGTCAGACAATTAAGCTGATTCCACTGATTGCACTTAAGTGAGATCCCCTGCAGAGTTGGACCGACCCAGCTAGTAGGATGTGTGAATCTGAAAGCTGTCTTCGAGTTAAGAAGGAAGAGGAATGCAAAGAACGCAGCAGACGGCACTTAATAACAGACCTTCAGCGGTATGCTTGAATATAGGTCAAGTTAATTAAAAACCCATGCAAGACCCCATACTTTCAGGCATAGCCTCTGTAGAGCAACACACATGCTAATTACTATTTATGATTAATTAATATTTGTTTTGTATTAAGACACAACGGCTAGTTGAACGCCAGGATTTCTGAGTGTGTAGGGCCTTACGGTTGGCATGGGTCAAAAGGACAGCTTTAACTGGATTCTTTGACCTATATTCATGCCTACGACTGTAAGTCCGTTTAGTGCTATGTGCACCGCTGCTGTTCTCTACATTCCTCAAAGACCCATGTACATTCATTATCAATCCCCAACATTTCACGTTCCTAACTCTAAGGGTAGATAGTAGAAGTAACGGTGCAAAAAATAGAATCAACCACCCCCAGGGACGGCCACACCCATCAATACCCCAGAAGGATCCATATCCCTAAAGACATGTTTTCAATTCCCATAGCCTTCCGTTCCTAACTTATATGGTCTAAAGGTAGATAGCAGAAATTACAACGTCTAATTATATTCAACCACCCCCAGGACCACACCCTAAGTCAAAAAAATTAAATGCCATTCAACATCCCAAATTATACTGTAGCTACGTTTCATGCTTCAACTCAAATGGCCGATACAATGGGCAGATAGCAGAAAATACGTTGTAAAATTAGAATCAACCACCCCCAGGGACAACCACACCCATGTCACAATAAATTTCCGAAGTGCCCATGCACATTTCTTACGGTAGTGTATTAATCCCCAACGTTTTTATTTCCTAATTCTGAAGATTTAAGGGTAGATAGGAGAAAAATACGAAGTAAAAAGTACAATCAACCACTCCTAGGGACGGCAACACCCCCAATTAAAAAAAAAAACCAAATACAAAAACAAAAAAATCCGAAATCCCATGCACATGCCTAACAAAATGTTTATTAACGTTTGGAGTTCCTAACTCTAATGGTTTAAGAAATTACAATGTGCAATAAGTTTTATATTTTCGTCCACCCCATGGGCAGCCTGGCCAGTTTCAGCATACATAGTCGAAGCAAACCCGTCCCCACTCCAATTCTACCTGTCTCGTACTTCAAGCTGGTTGCAAAATGCGTTGTAGTTGCAAAATGCGTTTTCACGATTTTCTTTGGTTGCAAAATGCGTTGCAGTTGCATAATGCGTTCAGTTGCAAAATGCGGCTCTACTTAGTAGGACCGTATTTTGCAACTGAACGTATTTTGCAACCGGTTGCAAAATGCAAGGAGCCGTCTTGCAACTGACCAGGTGTATGGCACTTGACCTGGCTAAAGACGGGATAAGGGTCAACTCGGTTTCCCCGGCAGTTATAAATACACCTTCGGTAGGTACTCTAGGTAGTAAGCCTACTGGGATGCTGAGAACTTAGATATTTATATGCGCATTTAGTTTGGGGATTCCGCCTATGAAAATAACAGCTTGTAATGTAAACATACTTTTTCATACCACATATGTCATCGTGAAAAATATAAATTAATTATTTAATACTGATGGAATTGATTGCAAGAATGATTATAATGTGTAAATTATGTTCTACATTCTTCTTTTTAGACCCACTAAATATTCACAAATTTTGAATTTATATCATCTGTGTTCTTTCTCTCTGCAGCCATTTTCACCTTCCTTTCCTAGCTATCGTATTACCCACTCTTGGATTCGCTGTAGAATTACGCAAGATCGTCTTATTGACGTGTCAGTGGCAGCACGTTACCTTTGTTCACCAGAAGAAGGCTTTGTGATAAGGCTGAAACCTTGCCTAGGGCTCATTTCCAATGCAACTATCGTTTTACGTAAATCGATCCAACTCAGTGGGAACTCTCGCTGAATGCAATCAGTTCAAGAGATTTACACGCCTCCTCCTGGCGTTGAGTAAAATATAAAAAGCTTGCGATTATACGAGTACGTTTGCAACAAAAAGAGGCATGATAATCTGTTAAACTGATTGCATTCAATGAGGTTCTCTGCGTAGATGGTTCGATCTACGTAGAACGATAGCTGCAGTTGAAGTTAATGTATGGGCGCATTCCCATAGATTTTAGATCGCTCTATCCCCGTGGGGAGTCTCACTAGATTACTGTCAGATAATCCGGCTTAAATGTCCGTCCCGCCTACTACAAGCGGTAAGGGGGTAATTAACTTTTGTGCCCGCTCGGCTGGCAGCTATTTAGCGTGAACCCTCAGGGAGTTAGGTCGAGCTAATTAGATCGATCTAATCTCTAAGAATGGGGTCAAATTCTGCAGCAAATGCAAGAGTGACGCAAGCTCCAGTATGAGAGGTATTTATAACTCCATTTTATCTTGGGTTGACCGTGGTTTAGGTGGAGAGAGCCCAAATGAACTTCACTGAAGCTAAGAGGGAGTGGGCGGCAGGCTGTCACATGTTGAACCGTCAGTGGGAATCTTCAGAAGTTGCCGCCGCCATTGCCTTCCTCTGCAGCAGAGACGCTTCCTTCATTACCGGCGCTGATCTCCCGGTAGATGGCGGCTACACGGTGATAGGCCCTGAAAGGCATGGGAAAGACGGGCCGGATTTCAGTGGAAATATTCCTGACTAGCTGATATAAGGACGAAAACTAAATAATGAATAAAAAAAAATAACTGATTATGTTTTGTTCCCCATGACTTCCCTGGTTGAACATAAAATGGACGCGATCTCCATCCTAACTGTAACTTAACTTCAGCTGGGCTCATATGAGCTACTGCTGTGCTGGCAACTTTCTTATTTGTATTCTTTATTAATCATTAACGTGTTAAAGAAGTTTGTATCGTTTACCAATTAGAATGTTATTTTCTTTAATTGTAAATGCCATTTTTCTAGAGAACTCATATGCAAAATAGTTGTTCTCATAAATTATTACGCGCACCTTGTTTATTTATATATTCATCTCTTTATATTTTAATTAATTAATAAATTTATTTATTTATTTATTTATTTATTTATTTATTTTTCCATCATGAGTAGTAGAAGAACGTCTCTTGCAATACCGAAGGAGAACAATACATTTCTCCTATATTAATCGCAAGGCGATGACACATCTACTAAGATAAAGTTGAATAAGTTATTTAATTTGGAGCTGTTATCTACATAGAGGTCTGTACATATTTGACTAATTAATAGTGATGTAGCAGATAGATACTGGCATTACAAAATGGAGCGTCGTCAGCTGAAACTGGACCAGCCGCATACAAAAGACAGGTTCAAAGGATGTGTTGCCGTGGTAACAGGAGGAGCCTCTGGTATCGGTAAAGAGTGCGTCAAACGCTTCATTAATGACGGTGCGTCCGTGGCCTTTCTAGATACCAATCAAGAAGCGGGCCAACTGCTTGAGACGGAGCTGAAAGCGGCCGGACATGACGCCATGTTTTACCATATCGACGTCTCGGACAGGGACGCGTGTTTCGCGGCCGCAAAAGACATAGCAGGCAAGCATGGCGGCTGCATCCACGCTGTGGTAAACTGCGCTGCAAGTTTCCTGTTTATAGGTATTTAATGTCATTTCCACCGGGAAGAAAGGGTATCTATGCTCTAATGTACATATAGCAGGAATAACTGGATTTCATTTTTTATGTACGCAATTTGCTTAACAAGAAAGCACGACTTTTTGACATTGATAATTACATTATTGGTGGCTTATTTTCACGTTCAGTTTTCGATCTGCTTGGGAGGGGCTTAAGGAGAGGTTGAAATATGAGCAACCACTGTTTCAGTTCAGATAATACAACTCCAGATCACTTAAGTTATTATGCAAGACAAGAAATAAACTAACCGCCCCATTCATCGTATCACATATTATGTGGTTGTATTTTATGGCATTTTTCCCAGCTTTAGACGCGTCCATGTCCGACTGGGAGACGATAATGGGCGTGAACGTGGCGGGCTCTTCAAATGTGGTACAGGCATGTTGTCCTTTTATGAAGAACGGTACGTGAGCTACGTTAACGTTGACTCCATTTTTAATGCCTCAATTAACGTAAGATGTTAGAAATATACCAAAAATTGGTTTCGCATCAAATGCATTGTGCTTATTTCTATATATAGTTTCTTGTGGAACACGTAAATGTGCTTTGCAACGTCATTGTGATTTATCTTCTGAATAGATTGCTTTGTCTCCTCTAACACAATGTATTGCCTCACCTAACGCATTGCAAATGCGAATTATATTGAACCTGACATACATGCATGCAACACGTGGTGATTGGTTGACGATCACAATCAACGTATTATCATGTCTTCTCTAACACAATTGTCTCTTTATTTTAAACTCAGGGGGACCAGAAACTCGCGCCGTAGTAAATATTGCCAGTGTATCTGCCCATTGCAGTCAAAAGCAGCACTGGACGTACAACAGTAGCAAAGGGGCGATCTTGCAACTGACGAAATGCATGGCGCTTGACCTTATCAAAGACGGAATACGGGTCAACTCTGTTTCTCCTGGAATAATTAATACCCCTGCAGTAGGTAGATTAGAATAAAATATTTCTTTGTATCTATATTAATTAATTAAATGATGTAAGTCAAGTAAACAAATAAATAAATGATGTTTTCTTGATCATCACGTGTGCATTCATCTTCAATTAACGTTTTTCAACTTTTGGTTCGTCTTTTTGAAAACAAATATTCACTTCTTCCTTTTCTTATCTTTTACGTTCTTTCATTCTCTTAATATAACACTGTCTAGTCGTTTTTTCATACACAATTTTCGTAATTATTCACATATCTATTCAAATTCCTTTAGCTTGACGCTATCGTTGGAGGTGACGAAATACAGAGAGCGTGGTACGGTAGCGCCCACATGATGAACCGAAACGGTGAATGTTCGGAAATTGCCGCCGCCATTGTCTTCCTCTGCAGCAGAGACGCTTCCTTTATCACTGGCGCTGATCTCTCGGTAGATGGCGGTTACACAGCGATGGGACCTGAACGACACGGCCAAGACGGCCCTAATTTTACCGCAGCCATACCGGAATAATAGCAACAGCAGATGAACAGGGTTGGGGCGTTCAGCAGTCCAAACGGCAACCCCCAACAAACTATGTTATACCTTATATAATATTAAGTCATGCTGGGGAGTAATTGTACCATCATATTACAATATACATGTTCAAAATTTTCTAATATCAATAACATAAAAGATTGTAAAGAAAGAAATTCAATCGCATCCGTCTTTGAAGGTTTCAGATTATTTCAAAATGTAAAACAGAGGAAAACTAGAAGTTAGCCTTAATCAACATTACGCTTTTATTTATATTTCCGTTTTCAATTAATGTTTACCAGACCCAATTTTCTGGCCAGTTATTTTTCGAGGAATTTGGAGAGAAATTACCAGTGTTAAATAAGTATTTAATGTCACTGGATACGTTTTTCCACAATTCACCTTTCAAAGGGATAAAAAAAATACGAGCAATATGTTGTACTCCGGTTCATTGCTGTCAAATATTTATGATAACAAATTGCAGAATTTTTTATTCTTCATGACAAGTTTTTAGCTGGTATCATATATATTATTATTTGAGTTATACTTGGCTAAGAATGAATCTAATCTACTTAATTTTGAAACTAGCTATAGAAAACAAATCACTGCTTACACTTGGTGAACTGGGCTTGGGGGGGGTACGACAATTTTTTTTTCTTGGGTCAAAATGGGGTAACTACTTTGGGTTTATATGCAAAGATCAATTTTTTGGCTTTATTTCCTTTGTAAAGCAGATTTCAGGTCATAAAATACTGTTAGCTGTCTAAATTGATAAAGTCTACCAGTACTAGTACTCTAAATAAATAAAGTTTACTAGCAGTCTAAATTGGCCTTTGCATGAATATGTGCCAAAGTTCAGACAAGTAAGGCAACATCATCTAGCTGGCGCCAACACAGGGTGTGATCGGCAAGATTTGAAGACGCGAGGCGAACCATATCTTTCTCACTCTCGCCCCCATAAACATGCATATTAATTTTAAATTCATTTATTACATATAAGACTTATATGGCACTTAAAGTGTCTCCATTAACATTACAAACTGATTTTCAAATATTTAATAAGTCTCAATCCACTGTTCAGAACATGATAATATTGCTACTGTACTTTTGAAATGCAGAGCTGCCTTCAGAACAAAATAAAATAATTCCAACTAACGTCCCCAATTCTTTAAAAACTGTAATTAAAATATCCACTGTCACACAATTATATGCTCACTTATCACTTCTTTCTTCAATGTTGTTTTAAGAGCTTTCTTTTAGTGAATAATCATCAGATTCTTCAAATTGGTTTCAAGAGATTTCTTTCCAATCAGAATATCTATCTAATCAATGTTTCAAAAATAAAATTTGTATAAAATCTGACGTTAGATGCATGGATCATCAGACAATCTCATAATGGTACCAAGACTGATCCTAGATATCACAAACTTATTTGTAAATTCTATCTGAATCACCAAATCTATATCATTCAATTCCCAGATCATTACCAGGTTTCTGCATTAATATTTTAAAAATATTCTAAACAGTTTTGACATGATCAGGAATTCATTTTCATTCAAAGGCATCTCTGGGTGTTAAAGTTTCCCAACCAGCCTGCAGATGACTGTTTAGAAATAAAGTCACCTTTCTTACATTAATTCTAACCTATAAAAATATATATTTCAATGGAATTCCGTCTTCAAGGGAACTAAGAAGACAAAGAATAAAGCTGCCCTTAAATGTGCATATATCACACACTGTGATGGGTTTCTTACAAAAAAAAAAAAAAAAAAAAAAAAAAAAATAATATATATATATATATATATATATATATATATATATTACTTCCAGTTACAATATTGTTTTGTGGATGCACAAAAGGGGGCCCTACTGTTAAGTTAAGTGAAAGACAAGCCAGATACAGGAGCGAGTGCCTTAATGAATCTGTAAGCAAGCACCAGTTCCTGGGCTTTTATGGGGGATGAAGAGCATGATAGTAAAGTTTGACTGTATGGTACACAGTGTATGGTCCAGAATGCTAACTGTATGTTCTGTGACCAGATGTTCACAAAAAATTCTGAAATGAATTCAATGTCCTTTATGTAGTTTCTTCTAAACAGGTGTTGTGGCGCCGCTATCCATGTCCATCTGAAATTATAAAACAAACAGAGACTTAAATTATTAGAGTTTGCGATACACCCTTGTTAAAATCTATCCTATCCTTCATTTATATTGAATGATATATAAAAACACCCTCCCTTCAAATATATATGCAATTCAATTGTTTTTAAAGTTCTGAAAAAAACTGACACATCAAAGACCTTTGAATATTAATTTTCTGTCTAATGACCACTATTTGTAATTTTAATGTCAAAGATGGAAACATACCAAATATCACTTCCAAAAAAAAAAAAAAAAAAAAAATGACATGTAGCTGGCAATTTGAAAAGGGGGGGGGGGGATGTCTTTTCAGAAAAGGTTGACCTTTTCAGTTGATCCAACATGAGAAATGGTATTGGACCTAGGTCAGATTTTGATTCAGAGCCAACCACCCACTCACCCCAACCACCTGGACACCCTCAGGCCTGTGAAACACTACATGGTTTTCAAAAAAATCTATATACATACTGTACATATCATTGATTTCAGTTCAATATTATATTGATTTGGCTTCAAAAATCTAGACGTTTGGCAGAAATTTTCCAGATATTTAGCAAAAATTTTCAAGAAACTTCAGCAAAAATATCTGCCCATTCCACCTTCCGACTAGTTTTTATCCTATACTCACTTACAGCTCGACAGCAGCAGGGAAAGCAGCAGAAGAAACATCGACGACACAGCTGTAGCTCGCCACACAGGACTGTCTCGTAGTATTGGACCACCGACGCTATGCATAGGATAAATCCCAGGAATACGCTGAGGAATGTGGCTACATGGATGTAAAACAGGGCACTGCCCGACTGGAATAAGATATAGTACAGAAAATGAAATTTGAGCAATTAATGGTGTCCCTGAAACGAAGAAAGTGTCTGATTGCAATAGGGAACAGTACAAAGTATGAAATTTGAGAAAGTAATGAGGGGTGTAAAATATAACGGAGAAAAGGAAACTGGTTGTCTGGAATATGGGGTTACATCTACATGAAATACAGCCAGAACTTATGAGGCTATTGAAAATTGATCTCTGTTTTCCATGCTGGTGCTCTGAAAGTCAGGGTGAGATTACTGTATAGAAAGTGTAAAGGATTATTGTCTCTGTTTTCTCTCTCTCTCTAAAACCATTAGCTAGTTAGCATAACAACAAACTCACTCTTCACCAACATGAATGCTGCCAAACACGATATACACATATTCTCTCTCTTTCCCACTCTCTAAAACATCCATCCTACAACACAAACAAACACACACACGCACGCACACACACACACACGTACACACACACACACACACACACACACACACAGAGACACACAGACACACACAATCACACACACACACACACACACACACACTGTTCCTACCTTGTAGGATGCTGGCACAGTCTTCTGCTCAATGAAGCCAGCTAGTAACATGTACTGAGCCACCACATACAACAGCAGACACAACACTGTGAGAAGGAAAAACCTGTACACCTGGAAATAAAGAAAGCAGAAATGATCATTTATGAAAAATTTTTATCATCATTTCTTTTTCCATACCTCCACCTTTCAGAAAGTATAAGGTGAAAGTTAAACATGACGAACTTTGACAGCAATTTGGATCATCACTTTAATTACTTATTTTTCAAAAGCATTCATATACCCCCTAGCATATGGTTTGTAGACTTGTGAAAATTTTAGTTTTATGATGATAAAAATGGATAATCTCCCTAACTGAGATATGCACATGTATAAAATTAGATGAATAATTCAACTCACTGTAGATGCACGTTTCCCAATAGCTGCCCTTATTGCCATACAGCCTGTCAGGATCAGCTGAAATATACCAGATATAAACAGTCCTTGAGCACGTGTGTATGGAAAGGATAATTTAGACTGCAAAAGCTTCAATGATATCATCAAACAACCCACATTTGTCTCTTAATATTAATATATATTTTTTTAGTCTGATCTAAGGCCTGAGTCCCATTGACACCATTGGTCTACACAGATTGATCCAACTCTGTGGGAACTCTCGCTGAGTACAATCAGCTTAACTGAATCAAGCCTCCTGCGTTAAGCAGAATACACAAAAGCTGGTTATTATACAAGTACGCTGGAAACAAAAGAAGGCGTGTCATTCAGTTGAGCTGACTGCACTCAGCAAGACTCCCCGCAGAGATGGAATGATCTACACAGACCAATGGTGACTGTGGGAATGGGGTCTAAGAAACTTCATGACTGAGAAAGAGGCAGTGAAAGCTGCTGTTCAATTACTCTAACGTAATTAGGAATGATAATCCAAGAGTTGCTCTAGACTTACCACAGATCCTGCCCACATCCCCATACCGTACGTGTTATGGACATCCAGATGTGGCTGAAATGTCCCCTCCTTGTCTTCAAACAATGGGATGATGAAGACTTCACTAATACCTAAATTGACAAGAAAATATTGTGAAATTCAATTTAAAAAAAAAAATTTGAATATTAATTTTTTGTTGTGGATTTAAAGGACTGGGGAGCAGCAAGTTAAGTAAGCATCGGCTTAAACTGCTCAACAGACTCAGTTAGAACTTCTTGAAAAAAACTGTCACTGTAACAGCTGTATTGCGAAGAAATAATTCTAGATGTGAAAAGGCATATCAAAAAGGAGACAGACACATGACTGTGCTTTTGCCAAAACAATAATAAATAAATAAATAATTAATTAACTGGTCAGTCTTTATAAAATGATTAGGAATAAATGGATAAGCATCATACCCAGCAGTACTGACAGGAATCCCACCACAGCCATCCATATTCCCAGGCCCCGGGGCCACCTGTTGTGGAACCGCCTCTGCTCCATGTACTGGGGCTTCGAGACCTCTGACCCTGAGGTGGCGCCATCTTCTGGGGCTTCTTGAATGGTGGGTTCATTCACTACTACTATGTGAGACTGAAATAAATAAAGCATGGTATTTTCAGGAAAAATGATTTTAATGTCAACTGGACTAGGGATAGTTGATGTTCTTTGGCTGTATATCACAAAATCTTTTGTTAATTTTTCAAATAAAATGAGAGTTGAGGATAAAAAATAGGAAATGAATTACAAGAACATCAATATTGCAGTTCTCACAAGATAAAAAAAAAAAAACAAGAAATAAATTAAGTCACTAGAAATGAAAATTTAATAAATAAATAGATAAATACTGTTAGATAATTTAAAATAGATAGGACTTTCCCCTTATAAAAAATTATAAATAACACCACGTGAGTACAAAAAGAGAGGCATTTAACCCACAAATGTAGCTTACCGTGTGTCTCTCCACAGCTGTTGCGTCCCCTGTCAGACCAGAGAGTTCCAGACGACGCCTCGCATCCTCAGGGGTATGCGGGGAGAGGGTGCATGGCCTGGGCTCCTCATCCTCATCTACTTGTGGCTGATACGGAACAGACATGGCGCTTTCTTTTTTTTATGCTTGGTACACTTGTATAATAACTCTGTTACTGGTACCGCATAGAATTACAGCTCACAGTTGTATTCTTCTGTGGAAGTTTACTATATGGTGTATACTAGTAAAGAGCTCTGCTGCTTGTATATCACATTGAATCACAGCTTATTGCACTGCTTATACTGAGTTGTACAGTACTAGCTAATTTTTTCTCCACACCATGTATAACAAGGTCTGTTATACAGATATTATACTAAATTATTAATATTGATGGGGGTAGATTAGTAATACTGGTATGTCTTAAAGCCTGTACTCCTTGCTTGTGTGTGTGAAAGTACAGATTTATCACTGAAAATATAATACTAGTAACTCAGTGTTTTCAGTTTTACTTGTAAAATTTTACAGGATCAAGCATTGATTATATTTCCACCACAATTAATGCAAAATGCCAGTCAGAGCAGATTGTTCTCAGGCTGTAATTTGTTTGAATATCTTTACTCTTGCACATGTATTTATTGATATGTAGTTATATATAATATACTTGTACTTTTATATTATAGTTTTAGCTCCATACTTCATAATTCTGGGCGAGCTATTTTGCTGCATTAATCATCAGTATCTCCAAGTAGACACTATCACAGACATCTTGGTACTTCAAATACTATATGTCATTGTTGACCTAGAAGATAATATGGTTTGTATCTCCCATCCACAGGTTACATACGTCAAGTAAATACAATTGTTCTTCTTATCCAGCTGCAGTTTTCTCCATGTCAGCTACAAATAACTTCCAGAATAATTCAGTCATGGGCCTGTGCCCAATGATGACTTCTTATTAAATTTTAAGTTAATTAAGCTTCCTGAAATATAATAAGAAGAAAGATATAATGACTCAACAGCAGTCACAAGTCTACTCTGAACTTCAAACTGTGCTGTATAATCCTGCTAAAGCCTCTAAATATCCTCTGGTTAAATCGATAACAAATAACTTATCTTAACAAAAAAAAAAAAAAAAAAAAATTAAATATGACTCACAGTCACAACTCTTTGGCTCGTATATAGGTCGGTTATTCTCGTGTTAAATTAAATATTTTAGATCTTACTTGCTATGTCTTAAATCAAAACAATACTCTCATACATACTGATGAACTATTTCACTTATAATCGGTCAGGTTACAAAACACCGTAAAAGCGGCAGTACAAATAGTAGTGCTGAAAACGGAATATACGACGAATAGCCAAGCACAAAAGCTTTGAGTCGAAAGCGATCGAAGGTGTTCATTTTACTCTGTACGTGTAAAATATATCTGGACAGTTAAATACCGTTTCTACTGAATCAAAACCACCTGCATTCTTTTCTCAGATAATCAGAATCCTGTATTGTTCAGCATTACCTTTGCTACACCGCATAACTCCATTAGTAAGACGTGGGTCACATGCTTCTTGTTTATTTCTTGTCCGCCATCTTGAGGGAATTCCGCCCGTCACGTGACGGCTGTAACGGGGGCGTCAAGTGCGACTTGAACTGAACAGGTAACCCAAACTATTATTGGGTCAAATTTTAAGGGGTTCTTAGCGGATTTCATTTTTTAAAACCTTGTTTACTTTTTAATACCTTATTATTGTGTTTTAACAATAGAATAAAATGTTTGTTTCAATGCCAGAATAAATGGTTAAGATGATATATATATATATATTGGAGAAGACAGGCACATACCCATTATGTACGTGTAGACTTTTTTTTTTTTTTTTTTTTTTGGGGGGGGGGAGGTAAAATAATGGTTCGGTCATGGACAAAAACAGTTAAATAAAGGCCTATCCCTAATTATTGGATTAAACTTAAATAAGTCATTTTCTTTTGTTTAAAAAACATATTACGTAATGCATGTAGATCTATGTTACAGTATTGTAGAATGACATTAATTGTACATTTTATTTCATGAAGCCAGTAATTAAGCCATGGAGCACCTCCCTCGAAAAACTGAAATATCCTGTTATCCAGATCTGCTCTGAGAATTGTGCTATATATGTGCACTGATGCCCCATCTGATATACATGTATATACCAGTACCGATTATATACACAATGAAAAAGTGAGCACTATATATTTACTTTCTTAATTTACAATATACATTGGGCCCAAAAAGGTTGGAAAGGTGAATTGTTTTTCAATATATATATATATATATATATATATATATATATATATATATATATATATACCGGTATATGAAATGCATTGAGTAAATCTTTAGTGTACTTTTTTCTTTTTTTTTTTGAGAGCCACAAGTACAGCTTAATAAGATCCAGTTGCCAAGCGACTTAAAAACAATAAATAAAAACCACATGCATGCCTAGTTTAAGATGAGGGACTTTTATTAACAGATATAATTTCATGATTCTGAATAAATAATGTTATAATATCACTCATAAACAGAAAAAGCAACATATATGCCTATTAACAACACCTACTTCTGCATGTATTAATATTTACTGCATTGTATTTTTGTAAATTGTATATTAAATTGTTAAATCTGACAATTAAGAGAACCAAAAAGAAACCATATAAGTGTATAAAGTTAAAATATTTGATAAAATTAAAATGTGGCCTTTATGAGATTTTGAAAATCAAAACTGCAAGAATAACTCCACACTAGCCGCAATATAGTCTTATAATTTAGTTATTAAGTAAGGAATTAAATTATCCACGTTGCATTTACTCCTATGTAAGTACACAGAGAACATCTAAATGCTGAAAGTTCTTAATTAGGATTTCAACTTGGTAAATAATCCTATGCTCATGATTCCACAGACAACGAATCCCAAGTATCCAAAAGACGGGAAGCCATATTGGTGTAGCATGATTCCTCCTATAGTGGGTGACACTGTTCTGATCAGAGAATTCATGGCCATGTTTACACCAAGAATAGCACCTGAGAGAAAAATAAACAATTTAAAATAAATAAATAAATAAGTAAATAAATAAGGCATTAACATAAAGAACAGATAAGAGTTATACAATTTTTTTGTTAATATCAAAATATTTAAGTAACTGGTAGCCTCCACTTTGAATTTCAAATAAAGAAAACATATGCTATATGTTAATTGGTATATTTGATGTTTTCAAACATGCAGGTACAAGGGTAGCTATGTTCAATATTCTACTTTTTAAAAGATATAACTATGAGACACAATGTACATGCAGCAATATATCTCACACTGTTTGGATTTATCAAGTGATTGCCACTGTTACAGGAATGATAGTCCTAGCTATTTTTAATATTCTACTTTTTAAAAGATATAACTAACAGACACAATGTACATGCAGCGATATATCTCACACTGTTTGGATTTATCAAACGATTGCCACTGTTACAGGAATGATAGCCCTAGCTATTTTTAATATTCTACTTTTTAAAAGATATAACTATCAGACACAATGTACATGCAGCAATATATCTCACACTGTTTGGATTTATCAAACGATTGCCACTGTTACAGGAATGATAGTCCTAGCTATTTTTAATATTCTACTTTTTGAAAGATATAACTATCAGATACAATGTACATGCAGCAATATATGTCACACTGTTTAGATTTATCAAACGATTGGGGACAAATGCCTTCCATTCCTGTCACAGTCGTACTCACCTGTGTCTGCGTGTGGCACCCTCTTAGTGAGGGCGCTGCTGATGACTATATTCTGTGTTGTGAGGCCAAAGCACAGAGGTATGGCGACCACTGCAAACTGCCATACTGAGGTTACATAGGACTGAAATGGGCCAGAAAGTTAATTACTTTGTTAACTAATTAATTAATTTATAAAGTACATGTATATAATAATAATATTTATTTATTTACAGTCTAAAATCCACATAAAATGTTCAGTACTTTGAAAGGGGTGAAATGATTGTATATCTACACTTCAGAAATTTTATTAGCTCGTCATCCATAAAATAAAGAATTAACATCCAGCAAACAAAATAAGAAATTGCAAACAAAATTGGGAAATTGCTGGTAAAATATCAACCATCTAATAATCAAAAATTAACTGTATGTGTGATTAAATGAGTAAAGAAATAACTCACCAAAATTAAAATATTGATAAATCAATGCACTTCTTTATCAAAAAGAAAAATCAGTTTGAAAAGGGCTACCAAGTCAATAAACTGAATGTTAATCATTAACTTATTAATGGACAAAGATATTAATTTATGAAATAAAATAAGAATATTTCCCTTGAAATTCAGGTCATTCAAACCAAAGGTAAGAATTTTAGGAAGATACTTACCAAAGCTAAATATGCCCAAATCATAATAAAAGTTGCTAGTTTAATCAAGGAATTATCATTGAACTTCTTCCCCACTATACCCAGTCCAAAACCTTGGATAAGCTGAAAAATCAAAATTTATATGATTTTGAAAATCAGTTTGGTGACATATTTTGATACAAACTCATTTTATTTGAATGTAGAGTATTCTTATTTTACCATTCTCATTATCATTACTGTGATTATTATTATTTTTTATGAGAGTCCATTTTCCACTTTCATGAAACATGACTTATAAATAACACACATTTTTAAAACTATTAGTATATATACATTTTTCATACATATTTGGGTAAGTTTGGATTTAAGCTAACTATAACTAATCTTTTTGAAACCCTTATGATCAAACACCAAATAAACCTGACACTTCTCACCATAACTAAAACTCCTGTATATGCCATGAGGTAGCCATTTTGTTCTGGTTCCAGTTTGAACAGTGTCACTGCGACTATTGGAAACATGCTTTGGAAAATGCCGATTGGAATGCCTAAGAGTAAGAACAAAAAGAAGAACACAGAACTGATAAATAGAAATTGGAATACATAAAACTGACAAACAATTAAGAATACACATTTGGGAAATACCCAAATATGTGTCATTTGTCTTTCTTGACCACATTTCTAACAGTCATGTAATATCAAAGTTAAAAACTGTTTTGGTTTATTTTTATATTTTGAAAAAAAAAATCCCTATTCATTTATTTTACCTGTAAATGTCTTGACAGCCAGTAGGAGCCCAGTTCCTGGTGTTTGGAGGAGGGTGCCAATCTTCTTCATGTTGAACACAGCTGTGGTACTCTCTGGAGATTTAACAATAATGATTTGATCTTGTATGTACTGGGGTATATACTGTGTCTTTATTTCCCCTTAGTCACAGATCTATTTAAGGAAATAATTGAGCTTTTATAATAATAATAATAATAATAATAATAATTTATTAAGATTGCAACCCATTGAAGTTGTACACACAATGTCACTAGTGTCACATCTAACACATTCTTTAAAAATCTTCCTTACCTTCTTTGTGGACTTCAGTATGATATAGCTTGGTGTGCTTTGGTATAGACATTTTAACTATCACAATACTTAGTATAGACCCCGACGCTGCCACAAAGGCAGCAAATTGTTCTCTGCAAATGAAACAATACAGAATTATTGTGAACATAAAGGAATGAAATAAACTGAGCAAAACAAACAAACAAACAAAAAATATTCACAAGTAGACAGGGGGCTGTAGATTAACGTCTTAAATTAATACATTAGTCTTGACGAGTGTGGGGATCTACTTCGTAAACAAACGCAAGGCCATTATGCTGTCAATCTCTGTGGACTGCTGCAGGCTTTATCAATTAAGTACATGGCAAAGGCCTTAATCTACTCCTGTGACATTTCATTGTCTCATTCTAGACTTACCCAAATGCTTTGGTTAACACTCCTCCAACGAGTGGCCCTACTATGAAGCCGATGCCATAGGAAAGTCCCAGCTTCCCAAGAGCGTCTGATCTCTGCTTTTCTTCAGACATGTCTGTTACCACCATCTGCCCACCTGTGGGGATTTATGACTGGTTTATGACTGGGTTCATTGATTTAAGGCTGTATTCCCAGAGCTTTTAGATCGATCTATCCCCACGGGGAGTCTCACTAGATTACTGTCAGATAATCCGGCTTAAATGTCCGTCCTGCCTACTACAAGCTGTAAGGGGGTAATTAACTTTCGTGTCCACTCAGCTGACAGTTATTTAGCGTGAACCCCCAGGGAGTTAGGTCGATCTAAAGTAGATCAATCTAATCTCTGGAAATGGGGTGTAAGACTGGATAAACTGATTTAAGACTGCCTAAACCGCTTTAAAAATGAGTTAAACATTTTAAGACTGAGTTTCTTAATTCAGCCTATGTCACAGTTTACCACATCTAAGACTTGACTGTGTAGTTTACTGATTTATGACATAGTTAAATGCTTAAAGATTTAGATATCTTTAGTAAATGAAAAAATATTGAGTTATCTTTGAAAAAGTATAAAATTGAAGGTTTTACGAGGGCACATAGTGCCCAAAAGTGAACAATTAATAATTCAAGACAGATGTGAGAGACAACACATAGAACAATGTAGCACACAATACTACACGTTCCAATATCTTCAAGTCTACTGAATTTAGTCTGTCAGATATTAACACAAGCTTACCTTGCATAGCATGCATGAAGACAGAGGGCAGCCTGGACAGGAACAACATGGGTACTGTAAACGACATACCCAGGATCAAGTAGGAGAGAGCGGCAGAACTGAAGGCTAACACCAGTGCTGCCTGCCCCCCATATAAATCACCATACCTAAAGGAAAGATGAAGAGATAAATGCACTTAAAGATGCATACCACATCAAATTTTTGTCATAAAAACCAACCAAATGCGAGCATATAGTTTCAAGTAGTATAACTAAGAGAATTACCAAAAGGCATTGTTTAATTTTACCCAAAAATGATGTTTGAACGGATTTTTCTGTTGGCACTCTAAGCTGTATGTCAATGGGGCAGGAAAGTAGGTCACGAAAGTAGGTTAAATTTACAACCAAAAACTTAAAGAAAGGAGCAGTCTAAAGGTCTTTTATGGCTGATCAAGTGATCTGTTCAGTTTATCCCTTGGCATGTCGAATTTATTTGAGTCATATTAAGGAGCAGTCTAAAGGTCTTTTATGGCTGATCAAGTGATCTGTTCAGTTTATCCCTTGGCATGTCGAATTTATTTGAGTCATATAAGAATCTAGTAGAAGTGGTTTACAAGTGTTACTGGGAATCCACGCTTCACTGATGCTCGGTTCATATGTACCTTTAATTATAAAGTTTTAACTTACGATTATGTAGGAGAGTGGACGGCTTCTAGTACAGGACTGAAGGCTAATGCAAGTTGCCATACTTATAGGTAAACAAAGACATGAACACAGTAAAATACATGTGGGTAATAAGTTTTGATCAGGTAGGTGACAGCTACAAGTACCTTTGATTTTATCATCTGCACTGGGAAATGTACCGTTAAATTGTACATGAACAGGAAGGTAAACACACACATATGCATATGAACAGTAACAGAGACACAAAAGATCACTCAGAGTGACCTCCCACAAACACACACACACACACACACACAGGCATGGCTACATAACTCACCTTCCAAACAGTGGTCCTCCACAGAGCTGTACGATGGCAAACGTGGTCTGAAGATAGCCAAACACTGCTGGGTCCACCTCAAACTTCTTGATTAGATACTGAAAGAAAGAGTAATAAGTCTAGTTTTGATACCTCCATAAAATATTTATAACCATTTTTAGGCAAATCAATTATAAACTGATTGTGAATAATTAGTAATCACAAATATAATTATCAACGTCTTTATTATGAGACAAAAAAAAAATAAATAAATAAATAAATAAATAAATAAATGATTGAGATTCCAACACAAAAAGGGATCCCCCAATAACTACTCACTCACCGGCATAGTCCCCTGTTGAATCCAGAAAAAGATGGAATACAGTACTATATTTGCATGCACGGCGAGCACCACGTAGTTCACGCTGCGACCAAACAGGTTAATCATGAAGGGAGCCAGGGCATTCTTCTCCTCTTTAGGGTCGTGTTGATAATTGGTATCATCTGGGCCCTTCAAATAATGAATATGAAAAATCTGATGATATTTTCTAAATTGTGAAAAAGATGTGTGGAATCATTTGGCCTCTTCTGGGTGATGTAATGATAAAGTACTAGTATGCCATTTTATATTTATATTTCAAGTTTGTTTGAACTTGAATTGAAAAGGATTCTACTGAGAGATAATGAAATATATATGTTGTTGTTGTTGTTTTTTTTTGTTTTTTTTTTTTGTTATACTGTACAATAGTGAATCTATAAAATTTTATGACTAATGAAGAAGATCAAATATAACTTTCCCACTTAACTCACAAAACTTGCTATTTGGTACTTAAGTTTTACCTCATGGAAACCTACCAGAACAAACTACTTGTAGGAAATCACTTTCTCTCAGTCTTTTAGTTTTTTTGTATATATTTTTTTCGTTTGCTTAATAGACTATAATTATGAACACACCACACCTCACCTGGTATAGCTCCTCATACAGCTCAGTTGTGTCCTCTGTTAGGTCCATGGCACGCAGAGACTGGTCATGATGAGCCGTCATCGTGGGCCGCTTACTCATCTTCTCTGTGATGGTGATATTCACCGAACCAATATCACTATTATCTACAGATATAAATGGATCCAATTTGAATCTTTATAGAATTAATTAAGGATAGGTACTATGGGTATTTGGGTTTAAAGTATAGGTGAATGGAAGAGTGCATAACCATAGACTGAAGGTTCACTGGTCCAAATGTTCACTATAGAATGTTTGGACAAATGAACCCACGCTCGGCTGTCACCTTGATTGGATGGTAAACAGTTGTCGTAAAATCGCTAAATGATATTAAAACCCGGTGCATAAAGTTGAAAACCACCTAGGACAACCTTAGACTGCCACATTAATCCAATACAATGCAAAAATAAACTATAACAAGTGGTTAAAGCCTTCAAACCGAATGTCGTAAAGTCCCCATATACCTCCATAGAGACAATAAAATATAGTAAGCTTCTGAAACAAGAAAAATCCAGTTCCAACATAAAAATCGAAATAAAATACTGCCGGGCATCGGAGCGGCCTAAAACTTGGCACGCTTACCGCTAATACTGCAGGCTACATCATCCCGTCGCTCATTTGTAAATTCCGTGCATGGCATACGCACAATCAAACCGTATATCCAAATTCCACCTCTGATGTTTGAATTGGTCCTCTCTAACCTACCATTACGAAAAAGAAGCCATGCCATTGGACAATGCGACCTCTGCGGTTACGACATTTCCTGAATTGGATTGTAGAGAAGACCAATTCAAACATCAGAGGTGGAATTTGGATATACGGTTTGATTGTGCGTATGCCATGCACAGAATTTACAAACGAGCGACGGGATGATGTAGCCTGCAGTATTAGCGGTAAGCGTGCCAAGTTTTAGGCCGCTCCGATGCCCGGCAGTATTTTATTTCGATTTTTATGTTGGAACTGGATTTATCTTGTTTCAGAAGCTTACTATATTTTATTGTCTCTATGGAGGTATATGGGGACTTTACGACATTCGGTTTGAAGGCTTTAACCACTTGTTATAGTTTATTTTTGCATTGTATTGGATTAATGTGGCAGTCTGAGGTTGTCCTAGGTGTTTTTCAACTTTATGCACCGGGTTTTAATATCATTTAGCGATTTTACGACAACCGTTTACTATCCAATCAAGGTGACAGCCGAGCGTGAATGAACCCTTTTATTTAAAAACTGATGAAAATGTTGCTATTTTTCAGAACAATGAAACTCCAGACCACTAAATTTTCAGACTATTGAGATGCACCCAAATGGAAAAACTAATAGGCACAGAGACATACAGACTAATGAGCAAATGGAATGTGTAAAATTGCAGGAATATTTTAATACAATAATTTATTCACTTATTAAAGTTTTTATTTATTTATTTATTTATCTATATACCTTATCAATTTAAATTGTGTTCAACGTGGCATTTTATGTTCAAATTACAGTATGTGGATTCATCCACCAATCAAGACAACACCTGTAGACTGTACATATGTGTTCTACAGTACAAAGTTCAACAGTCCGTGAAAAATATATGCAATGGTCGACTATGAATCCTTATATAATGCTATATACATGTACCAAGCAAAGGCTCGTGGTTAAAGAGACAATATTTCAAGTTTAAGTCTTGTCTTTGGCTAAGAACCACACCCCAACAACACTGCACTTGTGCTGCAATGTTTGTCATTATCTGCAACATATTAATTACTTATGTAACTTCCGGTGCTGTTAGCATTACTGCTGCCAGCTGTAAAACTGTCTACACAAAAAATGCGGTTTGTTACTTATGCAACAAACAGCAATGCTTCATTACGGTTTTTGTAACTTAAACCACTCGTGGCTTCAACAGAAAACTCTCCTTGTTGCATTACACCTCACATGCTCGTAAGTGTTCATAATACTGAAAATTAGGGTTAAATACATACGTTAAGGCTGAATTCAGCGTCGCGTCACCGTTCCATTTCCTGGCTTCAAGCTTAAATAGGTCGATGGTTACTCTCTAACCCACATTTTTACTTTATCAGGTTTTGAACAGCACATTAATTCACTAAATATAAACAGCAAGTTAATACAGTGGACAAATACACCTAAATAGCAACTTATTGCAAGATGTTTGATCAAAGTATTTGATTAAGCTATAAAGTACATAGCTGCTGTGATTAAGGAGACTAAAAGATGACCTTGGCATTATTACAATGGGGCACACCCCCTTCTCGTGAACCTGCAGATACAATATAGGCATTGAGTATTGAAGAGAAATGTTAAAAGTGCTCAGAAACGTTGTCAGTATCATATTGTTATGTAGATCCATTTTTTCATTAATATTACATTCATAATCATTATCATCATATAATTACATATTTAATTTTTGCTTCCAACTATATCACGGATATTAGTATGCATCTAAGTAGGTTTCAAAATTAAATTTAAAAAAAATAAAAATAAAATCTAAATAGACCTAAATATCAAATGCATGTTGTAATTTCCAAAGAAGTGGAGGTTGTTTCAATACGAACTTTAATCAATGAATTCACCTTGCACGTCTCTTATACAGCGTACATGTAGGCCTACCCTCTACCAGGGCCACAGTTAGACCAATTATTGTGGACATTTTTGGCTGAAGCGACATCAGACCGTCTTTTTCTGGATACAACAGGGGACTATGCCGGTGAGTGAGTAGTTATTGGGGGATCCCTTTTTGTGTTGGAATCTCAATCATTTATCTAAAGGCATAGCTGTGAATATATATCTGTGAAAAATCAATCTGTCGCCTTGGTAGAGGATAGTGTACATACCAGTACAGTATACATGTACATGTGTACAGTAGACCCCCTAACTCTCTCTCCCCTCCCTCGCGCTCATTTCTCTCTCAATCTCCCCAAGGATAAAGGCGAAATACAGTAAATTTTAATCTAGTTGTCATGAAACACGTCTTTGCATGGATTCCTGGGGCTGATCCAGGATTATTTGAAGGGGGAGGGGGTGTCTGCGGATCCAGGATTATCCAGGGGGGTTGAGGATGAGAAGCCGCCCCCGCCCCCCCCCCCCATCCCCCATTGACGTGGGTTTGGGGGCCCGCTGAAGGGACCTTTAAATTTTTGGTATTTTAAAGAGTGAATGATGCCATTTGTTACGTACGGTTCAGAACTATGATTCATATCTAGTCAAAATTCTCATTTCAAGAGGGGACCATAGGTATGATTTTTTTCAGAAATCTAAAATCCAATAAAAACCCCCCAAAATTCGCCACTGAATGGAAGAAGAAGGTTGAGACACAACTTTGAAATCTACATGTGCACAATCTTAACAGCCTTCATGCAGCCTCTTGGAAAATCCTTGTTGAGATCGAAAGTCTGAACTGCATTTCTTTATTATTAATATTAATTTTTTTATTTTTATTTTTATTTTTATTTATTTATGTATTTATTTTATTTTATTTTATTTTATCAATGTTTATTTATGTGTATTTATTTATTTATTTATTTATTTATTTATTTATTTATTTATTTATTTATTTTTGTTGCTTCAAGTGTCATGTACTTGTACTTCCCACTTAAGCCTAATACAAAAGGTATGTACCGGGGTAGACTTACGTAAAAGTTCGAAAAGTGCCGGAAACCAGCGAAGTGTGTCATTGCGACCCGTGAGTTGAGAAACAATGTGACCTGCCAAGAATGTGCCCTGTACAACCACCTTTTATAGTAATTTAGTTACTTGATTTGTATCGACATGTATCAAGAAATACTACCACGTTTGAAAAAATTCTCTCCATGCCGTGGAAAGCTACTCGACAATTTCCAATTTAAACCTCAATATTTTAAATGAAATAAAGGTAACTTATGTCGATAGTTCCCGCTTTAATGCACAGTAAAAACTGACACTCGAAATGGTATAATTAGAAATGGTTAAAAAAAAACATCGAATCAAAGTGTAAGATAGCGTCAATCATTGATATGTGAGTACAGAAAAATGTTCTTTTTTGTTTTAGTTTTTCCAAGAAAATACGATTTACCGTGAAATCCCTAAGTGGATACCCATATTAAATCAGCATTGACTTTATTAAGTGAAACTTGCCAATTTGAGGGGAAAAATCGTACGGTAATGTTGCTATTTAGAGTACTCTACCGTACTTTCGGCTACGAACTTCCCCGGTACTCAAACAGTCTACACAAAAAGCATTACCTTACGCCAAAAGGAATGGAGAGCCATCGAGCGTAAAACGTAAAGATTAATAAAGCAAGCTGGTTATTTTGAAAGGGGCGGTTTACTGAATTGTTTACCTGTAGAGTACACACTGGCGTACAGTGATCGGCGGCGGACCAAAGAGGTCACGGAAACAGGTGAATGGGTTCTGGGGTGAACGTATTAGTTAGGGCTACATCTAAGGTCACAGGGCAAATTGTCTGAGCTTTTTCGCTTTTTCCTCTAGATCTTGGCAAATCAACGGCAATGACGTACCGTGCTTTAATCACATTTAAAGGGATAGATGACTTGACATTAGGCAATTGACGTGATAATTTTGTGTGTGTTTATCTATGATCAGGACAGACTGCCCAGGGTATCTGTACGTGTTTCGGGCGTTGAACCGCAGATGAACTCCAAACATCGGCCGTGACGCACGCGTTAATTGTTGTAAAAACTTAATGGTGGCCTGTATGTGTGAACTCTGCGTTACAATACATGTTTCAACTTCACAAAGTACACAGGATCCTTGTGTATCAATCCTGAAAACTGCATGAGTATCTCCTTTAATATTTTTATAAACTCGATTAAAATTTTAGAGAGAAAAATTGGACGGCCATTTGGGGAAGAGACGAGCAGAACAGCGTGACGAGGAGTTGACGCTCATCTGTGAGATGGATCTAGTCTGAGATAAAAGTTGATGAAGTGGGCGCCGATGCAGAACATTTTCAATTAGCATGACCAGGACAACGAAATTGGACTGTCATTATTCTGATTATTTGCTGTATTAACGTTGCTGAAGACAGGAGAAGAACAAGGACGGCAAAATACCACTGAAAACAGTTAAAACATACAGCGTAGTGGACACATGCATGTTCGCGCTAATCTCTAGATCTACCGGCTCTGTTCACGTCTTTTTATACCTGTTAGTGAATAGTACGGATAGTGTGTACATTGGGATGTTGAGAAGAAGACGACAATTTTGAAAAAAAAAAAGAACTCAAAAAGTGCATGGAAATTTTTGAAACGTCTCTATAAGTAAATAACTGTCATTGCAGACACTTTCCACACACACGGGAACTGCAAAGAGGAACAAGCAAGCAAGTCCCAAACAGCCTTGTCATTGCTAACCGTACAATTCCATGACAGCTCAGCCCGCTGGTCTTAACATTGTTTCCGATTTAAAAATGGCATCAGCTCGCGACCAGCCGGTCATTGCCTCGGTCACTTATAGGATGCAGTCGGCTGTCATTCTGGACCCGAGAGATGAGGAGGAAGATTCAGCTGAGGAGGTTAGTAATTAGGTGGAATTGCCAGATTGGTGTGTGTGTGTGTGTGTTCGTGTGTGTGTGTGTGTGTGTGTGTGTGCGTGTATGCTTTAGAGAGAGAGAGAGAGAGAGAGAGAGAGAGAGAGAGAAGGCATGTAGCCAGCAATAAAAAAAAATTCTGAAAAAAGGGACCTTCCACCATGACAACTCGTGTACCAAGATGTTTTTTTACGGAGCTTTCCCCTGCAAAGGGTGGTTCCAAACCCAAGCCCCCACCTCCACTCCGCGAGAGGTCTCAATGGAGAGAGAGAAAGAGAGAAAGCACTCGAGAGAAAAAAATCGCGCTTGAAGAGATTTACTTTAATCATACAAATAATGCTTAACAATAACAATCAGAATAAAAAGAAATGTTATACTTAAAATGGCCAACAGTCGAGCCTAGTGGAAGTTAGCAGCTCTGTTCGCCGGTTTATTTTCAATCTAAAGGCCTAAAGTGGTCGTGTTCTCTGCTTTACCTCTTGTACACCTTATCAAACCGTACGAGGTAGCTTTACGTAACTCGACCTAGTTCCTCTTTGTCCCCGTGCGCGTGGGCCTACACTGTATATATATGTATGTCTCTTGCCACAGGAATTCAGATATTCTTTCAAACACCCGGCTGACAGTGGGTGTAATTAATTTATATATATTTTGTTTTCCCTATTTTCTTACTGCGATTTTCTGTAGTTAATTTTGTGTAGATCGATAAAATTGATTTTACCTGCCATAGTTAAATCTGGGAAAGCAATTTAATAGCCTGCATTGGTATACGTAATCCGTATGTAGTGTGCCTTTGATATAATAATAATAATAATAATAAATAAATAAATAAATAAATAAATAAATAAATAAATAAATAATTTAATTAATGAATGAATGAATTAATTAATGATCGATTGCCAAAGTAAAGAGCTAATGATGATATATAAATTTCTTTATTCTATCTGTTTTATATAAAAATAAGTTCTTCCAAAATTTGGAACCAGTAAACTTTAAGTAAGCCATGCAATTAATACTAATTAGCCTGCTTAATTAGTTAAAAGTTATGTATATGTTAACTGATATATCATCATTTAAAAATACTGCAACGTCATTGATCTTTGTCTTCTGATGATAACTTAAAAGACCTAACAAAACACGAGACCAGCATTCGACAAATATGATGACACTCACACGTAATTTATCAGTCACCTAGTTCACGTCATGATCGCTTTGGTTGTGGACTGTCTTGTCCACTTGACTCCAAATCGAGACTGGGCAGAACACATGTCATGTGATTGTCAACTTTGAACCGAGATAGAACCATGGTAAGTTTCTTCCGCAGCTTTCTAAAACCGACCACTTAGAGTGAAACCAAATTTATAATTTCTTATATGTGAACACAGTGCCTGTGACTGTTAATAGGGGGTAGATCTCACGTGGTTTTTTCTATCCGAAAACCGGTTTTGAAAGTAGGGTTAATTTTTGACATTCTCGACTCAAGACCAAGTTGTAAAAGTGCTGACCGGTATTGGGAATGCAGTGCTATCAAAGATCTGTTGCCTTGCATCTAAAAAGGGTGTACGTCAGCTTTCCTTTTGGTGTTTATAAAACTGTCTTAAAGTGTACAAGATTCATAAATATTATAGGTGATGGTTTGATCAATGGGTCATGTGTATATTATGTCGTATTGTTCTTCTTATCTTGAAACGTCACAATTTACAAATCAGATGACTTCAACTGCCTGATATTTTTCATCGTCATGTACACTGGACACAGTAGCATATCATATGAATATACTCATTTTAGACATCTTGCATTTGATAGATAGTAATGTTACTAAGACGGCTCATGGTAGAGCTAGATGAAGGTTTGGATGTGTGTGTGTGTGTCATTGCATGCGTATGTTTGTGCACACATATTTTTCCACAAAACACTGAGCATTGTGTCGTCAGCCTGAAATATAAGAGTGGGGTTGAGGGGGGAGGGGTCTTTTTCTGAAATTTATCCACAGACATCATTGCTTACATAAATTTCTGTGGAAAAAGGTGTTTGTGGTCCAGTCAACAAGAAAAAGTGCACTGTGTGACAGCACATTGAAAGGTGGTATTATAGCAGCTTAGTGTAAAATATCTGGTAAATTTCTGCCTATAAAAGTCAAAATTCCCCAAACTACAACTCACTGTCAAGTCTTAAATTAGGGAAGATAATAGTATAGCTATGTAGGATATGTAGACCTATGTAAACATAGAAAAATCCAAATTTAGGTCGTTTTCGGTTGCTGATTATGTATATTTTTACCTCAAAGAAAAGAGGTCATTCACAGTTCAGTAGTTACCTACAGTGATGCTAGCATAATGGTTTGATTTGTTCGGAACACACTTTTTGCCATGACCATGTGGAGACATTTGCTTCAAGGCTAGCTTACATCAGTGTCATTTAGACCTTCGCACAAGATTTAGAGGGAAGATAACTTTACTGTGCCAGAAGGGGAAGATTCATTACTGTATCGTAAATCACTGCTGTAACTTGTGTCCAGTTAACCTTATATTATACCTTTTTGCTCAGGATGTATGGAAAATGAGGGGAGTGGAGACAGTGGTGGGAGGGGGGGTCAGGGCAGTTTTTCGGTTAATTAACAGACTTGTCACATTATTGCTGTGATTATTGCTATGAGAATGATTATACTAGTATATGAAATGATTACTAGTAAATACTGACATAGACTGAACTTTGCACTGATTGTCTCATGTCTGAAATGGACACATTTTTGTATATATATATATATTAGCTTTTTTGAAAGATTTGAGCTAGATGTGATACATACAGTATCAAATAAACTTTTATTTGTAATAGGAAGTTTGAACTCGTATTTTGATTTTGGATGTTAGAAAAAACTAAAACATATGTATATATACGGAGTTCAGTTGAATAGAAATGATCTTGCAGTATTTGGACTATAGATCTGTTGTTCACCTGCACCCAACCTTAAGGTACAGGAACCTACGAGAAGGCAAGAAATGGGCTTTTCCTTATCTTCACAGAAGTATCAACATTTTATCAACAGACTTCCTTATGGTGTGACGCTAAGAGTGGTTCTTTGACCTTATTTATAGACATGTGATGCTGATATGTTTTATTTATATTATTATTATTATTATCACTTATTGTTGGTGGCATCCCTGTGCACTTTACACTGTTAAGGCAATAAATGGAAACAGTTTGTATTATTATTCTCAAACTTACTTGATTGATTCATAGCACTGAAATATGAGTCATTCTCAAACAGCACCTTTTTGGCCCTTTTTATTTTCAAATTGTGAGAATTATGCTTAGGTAGTTTTTTCTTCTCATCTAAGTGTTTCAACCCACTGTGGAATTAATGGTGTTCAATACTGATACATTAATGCATTTATTTGGTGAAAATTTTAATATATACCAGTATGACTAAGGATAATGAATGAGACATTTGACTTTGTTGTGACTTAAGCCAAGTAAGACACAGATAGCAACTGGGTTGACTTGTATAGTGTGTGCAATCACTTCCAAGCAAACACATAATACCCTAGGTAAATATATGATATCAGATAAGAAAGGAGACATAGTCATGAAAACTAGTACTAGTAAGTGATACTAGTATAATTCTTATATTTTAGATAGGGGCATTGTGGTTTCAGTGAACCTTCATATGTTTGGTTGGCTTAAGTGTACTAGTGTGTCTGTGTGTGTGTGAGAGATAGAGAGAGAGAAAGAGAGAGGTCAAGAAAAAGACTGGTGTCTGTTGTCTTAATCATTTTGCTAAGTTTATTTTTTCTAATCATTTCCCTAGGCAGCAGCAGAGAAGAAGGAGCACCTGTATAAGATCTTGGTAATAGGAGAGCTTGGCACAGGAAAAACCAGTATTATCAAAAGATATGTTCATCAGTTCTTCTCACAGCACTACAGAGCTACTGTATCCTTTTATCATGATGCACACTGGATGTGCCACTTACGTTAATGGTTATTTACTCAATTTAACATCTTCATCTCATTGGCACATAAGGTAGCAACCTCACCCTGGCACTGAGCCTCCTCTTCCTTGTTTTTTCCAGGACTTTGCGTATTGATAGGCCCATCTCATTTATTTTAATTCATTTCAATTCAATTCATTTGTCAGTGTTCAGGGCCAGGCAATTAAGTATTACAGAAAATCACAAAGAATGTCACAATGCATTCTCTGTCATGACCGACTCAATGTCACATCTACCACACTGTCACAGCCATCTCATTGTCACATCTGCCACACTGTCACAGCCATCTCATTGTCACATCTGCCACACTGTCACAACCAACACAATGCCACATCTACCACACTGTCACAGCCATCTCATTGTCACATCTGCCACACTGTCACAACCAACACAATGTCACATCTACCACACTGTAACAGCCATCTCGTTGTCACATCTACCACACTGTCACAGCCATCTCATTGTCACATCTACCACACTGTCACAACCAACACAATGCCACATCTACAACACAATGTCAAAACCAACAAAATGTTGCATGTTGGGCAAGTAGGTCTCAAAGGGGGGGGGGGGGGCAGTGTTAGAAATTTGGTTAGAAAGTATTTTATTTAAAAAAATCCATTTCATGTCAGGCAAGTATTCCTCTAGCAATTCTTTTGTGTTTCCAGGCAAGTATTAGATATGTAATGTATATATCTTTAACTTAATTTGGCTAATCTATAGCTGGTTGCTGATGGACACCTTGGATGATATAAATAAAGAGTACTGTTAGATATCTAGCTAAGTATGACTTAAAATCTAGCTGCCCTACTGCAGAAATCATTATTACCTGGCAAGTAACGTCAGTACTATTAGGAATGTTTAGTTGTAGATAGAAAAAACTTCTACTACTTATTGAAACTAAAAGGTTACAGGTTAGGGAACCATTGTGATTATCAAATAATTATATTTTATTTTTATGCGTACCTCAGCATGCATTAATCTCAGTGCCCTGTGTAAATCTTCAGTTAAAAACAGTGCATCGGTACTCTGTTCACCCTAGTACAGTGCCATATGAAACATATTACAGCAATGAATCTTACGTTGTCTAGTCATCAGCTAAAGTTGCTATCTGACGTTAGCATCTTTAGCTGGAGGGAACCAGTCACTTGGTTACATCATTATAGAGTACGATGAGGAAGCCCCTCAGGTGAAAACGATGTGTTAGAATACCCAGCTGTCATGTTGGTCATGAGCTGGCCTGTCTTGGGGGCAGGGGTGTGGTAGGGGGGCCTAGTGGTTGGGGTTTAAATCATACAGACCCTAAACCTGTCTCTGCTTGACGTGGACTTCTTCCTGTCATCTTAAAGTAGGAAAATTTTGGCTGTGATGTGAATAGTCAACATATTAAGTGTATGTAACTGTCTGGGGTGTGGAAAAGGGGGGGGGGGGGGGGGTGAGCAAAATGCCCTTTTGGCCAGGCTGGAAAAAATTCTTTCCACACTGGGTTGTACTTTAGATTAAAAAAAAACATTATAATAATAAAAAAAATAATAAAGGACTTGTCTGAATAATACGGCAGAATGAGGTTTGCAAATTGACTTACTGTGTACTAGTATTTACAAGACATAACTGTCACATGTCACTTATTGGTTAAATGATCTGTAAACTAAAATCTCATTCCCAATGAAACATAGATCGATCCAACTCCGTGTGGATTCTTGCTGAATGCGATGAGATGAACAGATTAACACGCCGCCTCCTGGCGTTGAGTAGAATTACAGAAAAGCTGGTGATTATACGAGAATGTTGGAAACAGAGGAATTGTGGTCTGTCAAACTGATTGCATTCAATGAGGGTCCATGAGAAGTTTGATCGATCTATGTAGTTCATAGTGTCATTGGAAATAAGCCTCAATACATACCTGACATAGATATTAAAACACTGTGTACTGCTTGGAGGTTTGAGGAATATGCATTAAGTCTTTATTTATAACTCAGTGTACAGAAAGCAACAGAAACCGAAAGTAATTGGGATTTTTAAGCGGTTATTCCCCACTTTCTCATATGTGTACATTTTTCCAAGAAACCCCCCTTTTGTATTTGACAACAATGGGTAGTTAAAGTGAAAGTGCTGCTAAAAAAGAATGCCATTATTTTGTGTTTACAACTCATTAGAAGTGAAAGTGAAAGTGCTGTTGTGGGAATTCCCTGTCATTCCTTCATAGGCCTTTAAGCAGAAACCTCGGGATATTCCAGGAGAAATCAATCAAGTGTGATGAGTAAAATTCCTCTGTATCTCAATCTATCCCCCACCCAACACATTACAAGCACACCAACTACTAGTGGTATACACCATATGACGANTCTGGTGAACAATGCAGGTCAGATGGACGAGTACTGTAAAGATAAGGCGTTTGCTGGCTGGTTTGAGACTTCTGCTAAAGAGAATATCAACATTGATGAGGCAGCAAGGTTTTTGGTGACAAAGGTAATCCTTTTATACAATGCGTGTGTGTGTATATATATGCATATGTCCGTTTCATCCAGATAATGTACACTCAGGAATCATAAGTCAAAGGATTATATTGGCATTTTGAAGCCAGTCTTTAGCTCTTTTATCTAACAACTTAAGTGAGTCGAACTCTGGGCAATGATGCAGCTGCCAAATCTCTACGATGTGGTTGGCTGTCTGTAGGGGGAGAGAGACACCTCCCCGTGGTGATCCCTGGAAACGCTCCAACGGCTAAGATCTCTCACTCGTCACGATCATCCAAATGTGTGTGTGTGTAAGTTAAAGGGATAACAACTGTGCATTCCCCCCTCCCCTAAAAAATTGAAATTTCCTTGGGTAAGTGTCAATTTTCCATAACTGCCAATGGCTAATGAATCCATTCCAACAATAAAAGTAAGTTCCTGTTACTTTGTCTAAAAAAAAATTTTTTTAGGTTTTATTTTAATCTTTTAAGAGATTATTGGGGGGGGGGGGAGTAGACATCCCTGGAGGTCAAGTGGTCCAATACAGATTCCAGAATTATTATGATGACTGCCATTTTGGTGGTTAAATAGGATTTTTTTTAACATTTCTATGAGTTGTTTACAGTGTATTTATTATGAAATATAGATTTCATCCAAAGAGTTGTTACCCCTTTCAGGATTTTACTGATTATCTAAGTACTTTTATCGATCAGTTGATTTTGAAGACAGATATTTAGATGGTTTGTTCAGTGTATTTATTGATTTTGTGTCTTATAACTTTTGTACAGCAACAGCATTTTATTTGTTCATAATTGATTGAATGATTGATTTTGAAGATGGGACCCTCAAATAGTTAACTCAATGTATTGATTGATTTGATATCCAATCTTTTTTGTACAGCAGCAGCATTAAATACAAACAACCATTTCATCACCCCAAAATTGATGAACTGCTGTTAGAGCAAGATTGCATATTATTTATAATTTTTTCTTTTACTACTTAAGATTCTAGCAAATGAGGAACATATGCAGACAAATGAAGATGGGCCAAAAGACTCTATCACAATAACAAGTAGTAGCTCTTCTATGCCTGGAGAAAAGAAAAGTTGTTGCTAGCAACACAGAAAAGCTAGTCTTTATGCAAATATGTAATATGCTCATCAAGGGATGGAATTTTCAGTTTTGGCTAAATGATTTGAAAAATGGAACACATGAACAATTTTTTGGGTGATTTTTTTTTCTGATGTAAATATTGTCAATATGTTTAAATCAAATGTCCACATGGACTAGTGAAAAATAGTCATGTTAATACTTGCAATTAATGATATTAGAACTGTGTGGAAGTGCCTAGCATTACTTGTAAAAAGAACTTGGATTGGTCAGTTAAAGAATAGTAAGGATGTTGCACAAAATGTGATTAAAGCCAAGAATGGATAATTGTGTATTTATTTTCTAAAATGCTGAAGGATATCATGTTAAAGTCCTGTATACAGGAATTAATTATACTTTGTCATAAATGCATACAAATATGATCATATTGGTATCATAATAAGTGCCGTGTATGTTGTCACAGTTTAGAATGACTGCGCGACCTTTTTGAATGGGGAATACAGGTAGGATTCAGCAGGTTTTCATATCAAATAATCTGTTAACATTTTACTATGTTCAGTGGGCTTGCTATTTATACTTAAAATATTTATCTCCTCTGAAAGAAATTAACAGGATACTTGTTGGAGTTTTATATACCCAACTTGAAATATAATAAATCTTTTGAAAATTGCTGAAAGTTTTGCAACAAAAACATTGAATTGTATAGCAATCTTGTTTTATCTTAAATTAAAAATCACTATTGTTATGAGGTCATTTAGTATTGGTTCAAGTTAGCTAGTCGTCGGTTTTCTGTAGAGGTTTTTGAGTAGACTTGTTAGATGTTTACCGGTTATTCTCGCGATTGATCATAGCCCCCAAACTTAAGTATTGGATGGAAAATTCGCTGAATTCAAAATGTAATTTATTGTATTTGGACGTGCTTCAAAACAAAGTTTGAATATACTGTACAGGGTCAAGATCATTATGGTACAAACACTGGAAATACGTTTGCCTTTGGATTTACATGTACATTTTCCAGTGCCTTTTCAAGTCTCGTATTAGTATTTATAAAGACATGAATATAAGACTGCTAATCACGATAGTGACGTTCTTAGATTACATCATATGTTATGATAGAAAATGTATATGTAAGTTGTAATTTTGTCATTTATATTATCACTGTAATGCTGCATATCATTCCACAATTTTTAAAAACTTAAAACTGTCGATATATGTAGGAAATGCACGAATGTCGGACAGCCTGGCATTTTTCATTGGCATAGAAACTGCGTGTACGGCGCGAGGTAATGTTGATAAAAAGTTACTTTACCTATAATAGACTTCTACGATGTACCGGTAGATGAAAATAATTTTGGTTAATTTTGTAATTTTGACACTTTATTCAGGGATTTCATTTTTTTATATATATTTTCTGCCTTCTGATGTAGGCCTATTACTGAGTACGTACATGTACACAAAACGCAATAGGTTGGGATTTATATGGTATTCGTATTGAAAGGCTAGTGATCTCAAAGTTTGATTTTTGTCACGCGGTGGATATTTGTGAGGTTCCTAATCTAAAATATGATATCGTAACTAGTATGGTAACATATTGATGTAGGCCTAACGACGACATCCGGGACGTCTGGCTGTGACCTAAATACTGAATGACGTCACATAAGCGAGACCACTGGTACGTAATCATTCCCACTATGACATACCAGTTTAACTTCACTGTGAGGTTTAACATTACAAAATAGAGCGGAATGGTTGACTCTGAATACCCGTACTTAAAGTACTGAAATGATTAGGGGGATAATACAAATAAAGGTGTTAAAGTCATAGAGTAAAGGTGGCAGTTCATGTTGATGGTATTATGGATTATGTATTAAAATTGATGTTTTGTAAATAAATATAATTTACATAACTGCTGAATAATTTGATTTTTTTTTAATCATTCCCCTCAGCTACATCTGTCGTCTATTAGGCGATGCACCCGTTTGTTGACTGCCAAACTCTTACTATCAAGTGATTTATTGGCTGGAATTTGCAGTGAATTTGTAATAAAATGGCTTTATATTTAATTAGTACCGCCAGCGTGTACGCTGGCGGTACTCATGTTTTTAGTCCCGACCCGTCTCGTACGGCTCCGTCAGTTCCGCAGGGTGTCGTTGGATACGTTACCGCTACCGCTTCTCTAGACCGCAAGGACCTGTCCCCATCTCTTGGATGTAGGTCACATATAATATCAACTTGAACCCCCTGGTATTTTTGACTCAGTCGGTGCATTGGCCTGGGCGTGACGCCCGTTGAAGCGCACGCTTGTCAAAATTTTTGAAAATTCAATGCTAAATATCTCACAAACCGAAGGAATTATGCAAAAATATATTTGTTTGTACCAATTTTTAGAAACTACCCAGACCTTAGCTCTCATATTATAGTGAGGGGTTACAATCAGGGACTCCTTTCATCTCTGGGAGTTTGGGGTCAGTCTGTGCATTTTCACGGGAGAAGCAGCCATTAGATATCAAAACCGAAAACTCTCTCTAATTCAGGAACCGTAAATGCTAGAGACCTTTTGTTTTTGTATTTTGCAGAACCTGTCAAGCACAATACTGGAAGTGGTGTCCATTTTTTTTTTATTGTTTTCGATATGGTTTAGGCGTTGCGCTATGTAAAAAAGTACAAGGTCACAATATTCAGTGGTGATAATAAAATGTGAATTACTCCAAAATTAGCAGAGATACGCCCATAGTCACTATTGAACTTGAATAGGAAGTCCTATACTGGTAATCTAACTGTGACCTTAAAATTGACATTTGACCTACTTTTCATTATGAACTGCACTTTGCAAGTTTTCTGATCTTTATATCTCCAAAACTGGCAAAGATACGCCCATAGTTACTATTGAACTTGAATAGGAAGTCATATACTGGCAATCTAACTGTGACCCTGAAATTGACCTTTGACCTAATTTTCACCATGAAATGAACTTTGCAATTTCTATCCCTTATACTATAGGATCTCGAAAACCAGCAGAAATAGCCCGAAATTAATGTTAAACTTGAATAGGAAGTCATACTGGCAATATGTTACCTTGAAATTGACCTTTGACCTACTTTTTTATGATGAACTGCACTAAGCATGTTTTCTGGCATTTATATCTCCAACATTTGCAGAGAAATGTCTATGGTTACTATTGAACTTGAATAGGAAGTCATAAACTGTAATCTTGAAATTGACCTTTGACCTACTTTTTCACCATGAACTGAACTTTGCATATTTTCTTGCCCCTCATATCTTCAAAACTAGCAAAGATGTGCCCAGTGTTGCCCCTAGGTTTTCTCTTTTGTCAGCATATATGCAACACTGATAACACATTTCAAGGAAAACCAATAGGCCTATTGTCTAGAAAATCACAGGAGTGATCAATGTTAGGAAAATACAGGTCAATTCGAAAATCTGCCTAATATTGAAGCATATTTATTTATTTATTTATTATTTTATTTATTTATTTATTTATTTATTATTATTATTTATTTATTTATTTATTTATTATTATTATTATTATTTTTTTTTTTTTTTTTTGCATATTTTGAAGACTCTTGTTGATTGCATTTTATACAGCTTGTCAAGCACAAGACTGGTGGTGATGTCCCTTTTTTTTTGGGTTTTCCATACGAATGCGCTTACTCCAGCTGGTGGTACAATATCCGGAGGCGGTATTGCCTCTCTGATCCTCTAGTTGATAGACTAATTAACTTAGATGAATGATATCGCGTGGAGACGACGTGGCTAAGGGACCTTTGATTATCGTTTACAGAAAGAACAAAAGGTGTAATGTCCCAATGTTTCTCCCGGGCCAATATTTCGCCGATATTTTTTATAGCTTTCATGTGTTTGATTTTATTTTCTCTTCTTGTGCAAAATGGTAAAAATCATAGCAATATTTTAGTAAAGCGTGATTCCAAAGCTGGACGTCGTCTTGCCCATGCAAAAACGCCAGGCCTTGTGAACGATAATTGTCCTCGCCGCGCCAAATGCGCAAATTAACGGCCCAAACCACGAATCGAGTACCCCAACGTAAAATTACTTTACATAAGCCAAGGATTTAATTACAGGAACGATTTTGCCTGTTTCCATCCGGGTCTCTGGCTGTGATCAAAAAACCCCTGAGGTTTTTCTTTTTTTTTTTCTTTTACGGCAGCAATGCGTTCTCGACAATCTCCCGTTCTTATAGAACGCTCCGAACGGATAAACGGTTTGTTTAATAAAAACACTGGATTTGTGTAAAATTAATTAAAATTTGGGGTACTTTATTTGTGTCGAACGTGCTCAGTTTCAGAATAAATATACATATATGTACAATTTGGTGAACAATTTTAATAATGTCAGTTTTTAATAAGTAAATTTTCAAATCAATTACACAATTCAAATTACTGTTTTTCTTTTATCAAGAGCTTGTAAAATATGTGGGTATTACCTTCAATATTTTACAAGCTCTTGATAAAAAGAAAAACAGTAATTTGAATTTATACATACAGAGCTAATGAAACTGTTCTCTCAATTACACAATTGTTTAGTGTAAAAATGTATGGGAATGACGTACTAGTATTTTACACTACTTGTATTTCGTACTTTTTGACCTCGGAATCAAATTATTTTTTGTTTGGTTTTTTATTTTGTCGTTGATCTGTCCAATAACGTAACCTTTACTTTTTTGTTAATGCTTAAGAAATCGTATAAGTGAACTGAATTGTTCTGAGGAGTTTATTATTTAGAAGTTGTCATGGAGTGGTTGCACATAAAACAAAGACGTACAAAAAGCACTGTGGCTCTCTTAATAATTACGTTACAGCCCATAATAAAACAAAATGAAAGAACCTAATAAAATATCTACAAGTATACCATAAAAGAGCAATTGTCTAATTTGAAAACGTTTCTTCTCATTGTCATTAAGAAGTATAATTTGAGCCGACAAATTCATGTAACTATGTTAATCCATCATGGACCTTGGAGATTTACCCATTTTCGAACCTTTGTTCCTGCATTTCTTTCCTTTAGAAGAAAGTGTTCGAGCCTCGTCAGCTTCTTTACCCACTCTCACTATGGCCGGAAGTACCTCGGTCGCAAACAGATACTGGCGCTCCCTATCGAATGTTTCCACGGTGGTGGGCGTGTCCAGGTTGATGAATTGTCTGGAAGACACTGTGTATTCAGGCCATTGGACGCTGACCGGGTCACCTACATTTGGGTCACTGAAAAGACGAGGGAGTTGACTGATTAGCAAAACAATGAAATACCATATTGAGCATACAGGAAAGGACAACCTGACTTCGTAGTCAAGTCATACTTGGCATGGATCCTTTGTAGAGGGATATATTTCATACTAATTTAAGTACAGCTGATGGTCATTAGGACCATTAAAACTTAATGGTCATCAAATACACACAGTGGACAATAGAGGTGTCACCCTACTGAATCAATACTTAGGGGGAGATAAATGACTGTGGAATGATATGCTCCTGGTATCATTTTATTAACATCAAATTTCACAAAAAGACCAACAATACAATTCCATGGTCCAGCGGTTTTATACTCATTAGTCACATTATAAGTAGACTTTGATTACTGACCCTTACCCATTTTTTACAAAGTTAGCTATATACCGCCTGATGGTTCTTCCAAGTTCCAATTCCTCAGCTGTCAAGTTATATACCTCTGGGTGCTGTTCAAACACACCAAAATACAGAATGCGGGTATCAAAATGTTCAGCTCGTACAAAAGCCGCTTTAGGTAAGTAAGAAGGTGGATAGCCAAGACGAATAGATAATGTGTATTTATACGTTGTGGCACCTCCAGCTTCGTTCAGTCTCGCCGACTCCTCTGCTGGCATTCCATAGAGAAGATCAGTGCTCTGTTGCACGGCCCGGGTAAGGACATCCAAAGGATCCATGGGGTCTTCGATGAGACCGTATTCGTGAAGCAAGGACCTAGCAACAGCGACTTCAGCGCTTTCCAAATTGAAATGATACGCGACTGATGCATACGTTTGAAAAATGAAGCGTTGCTGGGCAACAGTAGGAGGGTTCCCTGCTGCAGGAAGTGAGTAGATGCTGCCATCATGGGAGGTAGCACCTACCATATAATGAAGCCCGGATGTCACGTTTTCTCCCAGAAGTTCTCGCGGGTGTCTTGATATGAAAACTCCATCTATATTTGGTCGCCAGTCGAGTCCTCCTCGTAGCCCTTCCTCTCTTATCTCCGCCAATTCCTGAGCGTCTTTATTGCGGAGGCAGCGGAGTCTTGCTCTTGGTCGAGGCATGTCACATCCGACCATTTTTGAAAACTCCAAACTGACGTTCGAAGACTCAGTCAGAGACCAAGGCGCCAAGCTTGACCCACTAACTGATATCCCTCCCTGTATCAAACCACGATTTAGAGGAGAGACCATCTGAAAATCCACCGACGCCCCTCCTGCCGAATCACCAATTAGAGTTATACGATCAGAGTCTCCGCCAAATTCCTCAGCATTCTCCCGTACCCATTTAATAGCCCAGTGCTGGTCCTAAAGGCCGTAATTCCCTCTTGCCTCGTCAGTCCCCGTGCTGAAGAACCCCAGAAAGCCCAGTCTGTAGTTTATAGTGACGAGGACGACATCAGACTCCAGTGCAAGAATATCTCCATTAAAAGTAGCACCTGTTCCTGCCCTGAAAGCACCACTGTGAAAATGAATTAAAATCGCTTGGCGAACGCCTGTCTGACGTAGAACATCAACACCACGTGGCACGTACACGTTCAAAAACAGACAATCTTCGTCCCGTGTGAGGTTGATGATTGTTCGTCCTAGGGCGGCGTAGAGGGAAATTGAGCTGTCAGGCTGCGGGCAGTGGGGACCGAATTGTGTCGCTTGTCGAATGCCTTCTCCCCATCCAGGGTGTCTCTTGGGATTGGCGAATCGAAGTCTCCCAACTGGGGGTTTTGCATATGGTATCCCAAGGAAGCGATCAACTATACCCACGCCTATAGAAGAAAATTTCAGGAAATCATGAAATGTATGCTACTTGCACTAAATATTTCAGTATTTTGAAAGACCGTCACACATTTCTCAACCGTGCCTCACCTGTCACAATTCACTCCATCGACCTACGCCATGTGAAGACACACTGTTACTGCTCATGTGCATAGGTCGCTTACATCAACAGAATCGAAACATTTCGGGAATGGAAGCGGATTATTCCATCGTTTATAAGCGTACGCTATGCCTTTATCGTCCAAACGCCCGGCTGTCACCAAATCAGATAATAATATAGAAAACGTGCGTTTGCAAATAAACGCCGAAATAAGCCTTATAGTATTTTATTTCAATTTTTTATACAGTTAGTTTTCCTGGTTTCAGATTTGTCCATGATATGCGTAGCCACTTTTAAATAATCGTTTAAAAATAGTCCAAGCGCTACTAGGAAGATATGTTTTACATAATCAGAATGAACGAAAGTCCAGGATAATGTGTTCCATTTTTTGTATAGTTAAGTGCTTACTTTGCGAGGTAAACATGTCGTACCCGTGCAAAGGCATCACACACTGCACTGTAAAGCATAGGCCAATGTCAGAGAGTTCAGGCAATGACGTTACCACAGGATAATTACCCCCCAAATTAGGCTTACGCTTACAGTGGGTAAAACGTGATGGGCAAATCTAGAGAGAAGAGGGGGGGGGTCGGATTTTATTGAATTTAGGCCCCCAGAAAGTTGTAGTCCCCTCTAAGCCTTCCCGCCGGGGGTTTTACGTATGGTATACCACGAAAGCGGTCCACCATGCTAGAACCTGGAAAAAAAAATGAACGGATCGAAGAGCCCAGCGAGGTCGTTAAAGACACATACATGTAATTTCACATATATCACATCGCAAGTATTGAATTTTGTGTTCGTGTGTGTGTGTGTGTGTGTGTGTGTGTTTGTGTGTGGTATTTTTGTGTTGCAACTATTGCAATGGTAATATCGTCTAAGCTATATTTCAAACAGGAATCATTACTTAGGTGACAAGAAGTCTGTTATCGAGAAAAGTTTCTGGAGAGCCCCTTTCTAACTTCTAAAGTGCAAGGTGTGTGTGTGTGTGTGTGTGTGTGTGTGTGTGAAATTCACTAATTGTTTACAGTGTGTAAGTGCGCGCGCGTTTCTTTTTCTTTCTTTCTTTCTTTTTTTTTTTTGAAGGGGTCACGTGATGAAAGATGGCGCTAGTTTTGCTCGTTGAAATATAGCTATGCATGTTTTTATTAGTGTTCTTTGGTGAAAGATTTTGTTGGACTTAAGTACTGCTGCAATTGTTAATAGTTTTCATATTGCGCCAACAGTATATGTAGCCATTTAGGTTCTATGACAAGGTAAATTAAGACTGTCTCTTTCCAAGTGATATATTTAGTCACCCTGTAGCTACTCACAAACTGGAATTTTAATTAACGAGCTACCCGGAAATGACAAGGGTTGATAACAGGGTGATCGGTCCCTGGGGGGGC